CGTGCTCGGATGATTAAAGTGGCGGCAAGAAATCTGCAAAACACGTTGTTGATGGCTTTTTTTTCATGTTCCTGAAAATTGGCCGCTAACTTCAGAGAAAACCTCTTGTAGGCGGTGTGTTCATACATCAGTTTTAGCATTAATACAGATGTCCACACAATAACATGTTTTGTTCTCTGTTAAATTTGAATTTTCTCTTGAGAGCGGTAAAACAACAACAGTCAAATGAAGAATGTACTCACTTGCGATCCTTGCTACTGGGCTCCCTGAAGCTGTTTACATTTCTCCAATGCAGAACAAAATGTGTGGCATGTTGTTGATTTGAAATTCTAGATGATCTGTTTAAGTGGAAAAAAACACACTTATGATGCCATATTTGAGATGGTAGAACCAGTATCCCAGATGTTGAGGTCATGCAAGAAACTTGATTTCGGGGCAATTTAGATTTCTCTTAAAATGTATTGATTTAAACATATCAATTAAAAATATTAAAAGAGCTAAAATTCAAGCCTCAAAAAAGTATTTACTGTAAAAAAATCTGTTTATTAACAGTTTCCATATTTTGTTTTCCAGTTATTTATGATTGTGAATTGCATTATGGTACCTTGATCTCTTATTGTTGACTTAAATTGAACTGGTGTTTAAAATTTAACTTTACAGTTTACCAAAGTGACTTTTATTGTGAAAGAAATATCCATGTAGTCACTCTCCAAATATTCTGTTTTCTAACTGTGCCTTATCTTATTGTTAGTTATTTTAAAATAATATAATGTATAAGAAATAATAAAGAGAGAAATAATTCTGTAAAATAACAGAAAATGTACTGCCGGTTTATTACAAGGTTTTTGTACAGTAACATACAACATCAACCCAGACAATATCACTTTAAACTATTAAAGATGTACATAAAAGTCCCTTTTTCTGATTTTTCATGGTTTTAATTTTTTGGAACAAAGATCTAGGTTTCATAATGCAATTCAATAGCATCAATAAACAGGTAAAAATAAAAAATATAAACATGAATCACAAAAAAACAAAAAGCTTCTAATTTACAGATATTTCTTACAATGATCCAAATGTTGGATCAAATATGGGTGAACTTGAAAAATAGACATATTTGACCCAGCATTGGATTACAACAACCCAGCATGATTTTTATCTCAGAGTGTACCTTTACATCTTATAATGCGACTTAATATCTCTTTTTGTGGATATTTAACTTGCCATTTTAAATCTTATATTTTATAATGTACCTCACAACATATACAAGGAAAAAACTTCTGACTGCAACTGTATAAATAGGCAAATTGCACAAGTCTCCTAGAGTTCAACATTTGAAATTTATAATTTTAAATCCATTCGGCCGATCTCTAGTAATAGCGGGAGCATGTTTAACTTATTTTAGCATAAATCATTGAAACTGATTAGATGATTAGCATCTTGGTCTAAAAAATGTATAAAGAGTTTTGATAATTGTCCTATTTAAAGCTAGACTCTTCTGTAGGTACATTGTGTACTGAGACTTTTTATTCCAACAAGGTGGCTTATTTTCTTAAAATATTGATGTGCATTACATGTGGTTAATATACTTTGTAACTTGATAATTACAGTAAAGCTTAATATCTTATAATGAGGCTTAATATCTTAAGGTGACTTAATAACTCATAATCATGCTTCATATATCACAATGTGACTTAACTAATAATGTGGATTAAGATCCCGAAATGTGACTTAATATCTTATGATATATCTTTATATCTGAAAAGTGACCAAGTAAATCATGATCATGCTTCACATCTCAAAGTGTGACTTTGTGACACATATTACAGTATTAATTAATCGCTAACGTGGCTTACAATACCTCTCACAATCTCAAAACCAAGTCTGTGGCCATGATTTGATTTATTATAATTTATTCATCGTGCTCAAATACATGTACAGTTTACATATGTTGAAATGTTTAGTTGTGTACATTTGCTGATTCTCTCACCTCCCCCTTAGTTTGTGATGGTTTGCTTCATCTTTTTTGGACTGTTTTAAATTATATTACTAGGCCTATGAGATGTGAAAGTGAAAGCAAAAAAGCGTAAAAGACATAAAGAGTTTGCATAAACATTAGCAACACGGGCGTATTGTGGAAAAGTACCCCCATGTACATTTCTGAAGAGCAAGAAATAACGAGAGCTATGTATGGCTGCATTTCATCTTTATAACAAACACTAGGGGGCAGAATGATGCTGCCAGCAGCTTCTGTTTCTTTTAGCACTGTCAGCTGACTGCTTACCTCCGTGTGGACGATTTTTCTGCTGTTACCAGTTTGCTCAGTAGCTCGCCATGTTTGTCGACAGACATGAGATGCAGAGACGAATTGACCACAATGATAGGGTGAGATTCTGGCAAAGAACAGTTCCAGAAAGCAGGTAATACAAAAACAAAAACAAAAAATAGATAAACAAGTAAATAACAGTGTGAGAGTGTAGTAGGATCTGTAAACAAGGTAAAAATCAGGCGGCCGTGAGGGGTTTTCTTTTTCTGGTTAGCTTTTGAAAACACTGTTGGTTGGGTTTAGGGAAGGAGGTGATTGGGTCAATCTGAGCTTTTGAAAACTTTGTCAGTTGGATTTAGGGAAGGGGGTTGGTCGATGAGTCAGTCAGTCAGTCAGTCGACAGTGGCCTCTGGTGGATTTACGTGAGAACAGCAGGCACAAATGGCACTCGCAAATAAAATTTGAGATCTAAAAAAGTGTACATAGCGGTCTCTGATGGTTTTGCGAAAATAACAATTGCAAAGAAATTTACCTCCTGGGACGTATTTCGCGATCTTCAGAAACAGATATGGGGCTATGTGTCAATAATGAGCCTGGGTTGAACATTTTTCATTTGAATGAAAGTTTAGTCAATTATTTACCTGACTGATACCACAATGTCTTTTTTTTTCTTTTCCGTCACAGTTTCATGCAGTTGTAATTCCAGGGTAAACTTTATTTGACATTAAAAGTCTACAAACAAACATTATATTTGCCATTTCATTTGGTGTAAAAAAAAACTTTTGTAGACAAATTTAGCCATAATATAATCATCTCATAATGCCATGAGGGTGTGTCCTGTACACCGCTGGGAGAGGAAGGAGCACTCAATATCCTGCAGTGATCATTGTGCTTTGTGATTGCCTGTTAATATCACTTAGTGTGTCTCATGTTTCACTCACACAAACATAAACTCAAGAATCATATTATTTCTCCCAACGGTCAAGTTCTTTATTTTTTTTAAAGTGCTTTGCCAAGTCTTTGTGAATTACACATCCCCTGCTGTTCTTTTAATGTCAGAGTTTCCTCACTTTCTCATATTTTCTTTGCTTTATTCCAGCAGCGTGAGTCATATATCCACTCTGCAGTCAGGATAACACCCCCTCCATAGAAATCCAGTGATGCTTAAACTGACACATCTGACACTCTTGAATCGGCACCGCTCTTGCATTATTATTCTCCAGATTAAGAAGGAATTGTTGCACAATAGTCATACTGACTATGAAAAATGTCATCCTGACTATCATAATTACACCATAATCACCCAATTTTTTACTTTCTTTCTCTTTCTAGTTTTGTGTAAGGTTTCATATCTGAAAGTGTGTCTTAATTTATAATATGGCTTCATATATCAAAGTGTGACCTAACAACTCTTTGTCACTTTATGCTGGACAGCCATACTCATAATGTCGCTTTTATGCTGTAATGTGGCTAACTGTGCTTCATTTTTCCAATTGTGTCTTAATAACTTATAAACAGGTTCTGCATCTTTATAGTGGGAATTAACTCATATGTTGGCTTCATATCTCCCAATAATGTCACTTGTTGCTGTTCAGTGTGACTAAATACCTCATAATATGGCTTCAAATCTCAAATTGTCACTTAATAAGTCACAGTAAAACTGCATGTCTTGTAGTGTGACTTACTAACTCATCATCAGGTTTCACATCTTTGTGTGTGACTTGATTCATATCTTGGCTTCATATCTCAAAGTGTGACTAAATAGCTATGTCATTATGCAGTTCAGTGTAACTTATATTTCATTATATGGCTTCATATCTCATCACGTGACTTACTAACTCATACTTATAAACAGGCTTTATATCTCAAAGTGTGACAAACTATATCTTGACTTTATATCTCAAAGTGTGACTAAATAGCTATGTCATTATGCAGTACAGTGTAACTTATATTTCATTATATGGCTTCATGTCTCATCACGTGACTTACTAACTCATACTTATAAACAGGCTTTGTATCTCAAAGTGTGACCAAATATATCTTGAATTTATATCTCAAAGTGTGACTTGATAACTCTTTATGTCACTTTATGCTGTTGGATGTGGCTAGCTATCTCATAATATGGTGTCATAGCTCAAATAGTCACTTAATAAGTTATAAAAAGGCTTCATATCTCACAATGCGACTTACTAAGTAATTAACGCTTTGTGTCTCATAGTGTGACTAACTCATATATTGACTTTATATCTCAAAGTCTGACCTAATAACGCTTTTTGTCACCTTAAGCTGTTCAGTGTGGCTAACTATCTCAAATTATGGCTTCATATCTCAAAATGTCACTTAACAAGTCATATTAAGATCATGAGATTAACTCATATCTTGGCTTTATATCTCAAAATCTGACCTAATAGCTTTTTTTGTCACTTTAGGCTGTTCGGTGTGGCTAACCATCTCATAATGAGGCTTCATATCTCAAATTGCACTACAAACGACTTATTTCCCTTAACTAATGTTAACAAAGATTATTAACAACTATAATAAATCTATTTTTCTTTATGTTAGTATGGTAAACGGTTATCATTATATTATAGCTTTAAATCTCTCTTGTATTATTATTCTCCAGATTGAGAAGGAATTGTAGCAAAATAGTCACACTGACTGTGAAAAATGTCATCCTGACTATTATAATTGCATCATAATCATCTAGTTTCTCTCTCTTTTTAATTATCTCTAGGTAAATATGCCATGCGAGATCTGGTGCACAGGCTTCCAGGGGGGAACAATGCTAGCGCAAGCAGCGGGGGAACAGCAAACAGCACAGCGGGTAAAACCATGTGCGATGACACCGTTACGGCTATATGCTGTGCCCTACACGAGGTCATCACCAAGAACATGGAGAACGCCAAGGCCTTACGGGACGCCGGTGGCATCGAGAAGCTCATCGGCATTGCTAGGAGTAAAGGAGACAAGTAAGTCGTCTTTTTTGACAATAGACAATAATTTGGCTTCTTATAAATTAACTCTTATATATCTACTTTATAATATATATTTTAATCTCATATTGTCTAATCTTTAAGACAATGTAATCTAATAATGTAGCAAACTTTTTAATATTGTGGCCTAATATCTCATAATTTGGCATTATATCTAACAGTTTGGGTTATTTTTTTAAAACATAACCTTATTTCTCATACTTGGCTTGGATTTTATCACTAACCACTTGCAGTGTTGTCTAAGAAAGTCTAAAATGCTGTGAAGTGTTTGTTAAATATTAGGCAATAGCTTTCTTTTTGTTTGGATTTTTTTCACACCTTGAGGCCATTCAGTTATTTTTTTCACCATAAACTGGAGGAAATAGAGACATTTTATTTTCCAGCTTTATAGTTTCATATTTATGCCAACACCTTTTAAAAGAAAGGAACAGCATGAGTCAGTCCTCAATAAGTGTTTCATGAGCTTCAAGGCCACTGTGTCTACAGATGTTCAGCTGCGTCATGTGTATCCTCAGTGACATGAGTCGCTTAGTGTTTGCTGAACTCAAATGAAAAAGTACACTTGGAGAACATATTCACTTTTGCCATAATATGCAGCAAGAGCTTATGTTTGATTTGGTGCATCCTTCAAAACAATGCAAAAAGTCCCCAGAGACTGTATGTACATTTTAGCTGAATTAAATAGCACTTATGTTATCTTATATGACAAGGAGTAATAGGAGTAAACACATGGATAAATCACGCTATTCGCACGTAAATAGACACGTGAATATTTTTAGATTTCTTGATTCATTTGTTTGTCAAATTGCTTCATTCACGCGATGTTGTGAAATTCACTTCACAATAGACGCGGATTCATGTCATGGGCAGGGCTTCTGTCTCCCCGGTGACTCTAGCTTCGTTGCTAAATGGCTAGCATGGATTTTATTGAAAGAATAGCTGTGTTTATGTGCTTTAGGAAGGCTGATAAACAGCGTATATTCGTTCGGCGCCAAGTCTACCAGATCCATTCAGAGGTGCACCCAGCTCTGTGAGTTTGTTAACTCCTCAAGAAACCATACCTGGATGATGGAAGTTTTCAGCGGTGCTTCTGACTGAGCCGAGACGAGCCTCATTCATGCAAATCATGCCGCAGGATGTCTATTCACGTCTTTGCATTGACTTAACATGTAAATTACTCGCACTTGATACTTCCTCTGCATCTGGTGTGAACGCAGCAGAACCTGTTTTGTTTTCGTTTCGTTTAATTTCTTTTCGTTTCGTTTGTTTATGAAAGGAGTTTTGAAAGCATGTGGTAAATCTTGTGGTGTGGTAAAATAAAATAAAATAAGGATAAAACAATAAAATAAGGATATATCAAAAAACAAAAACAAAATGTTTTATTATATTTTATCCTTAGTTTTTGTTTTGTTTTAAATATATTCGAAAGAAGTTTTAGAATCATGTGGCAAAGCTGGTGGTAAAATAAAGTAAAGTAAAATAAAATAAAATAAAATAAAATAAAATAAAATAAAATAAAATGCAGGTGATATAGAGGATATAGAGAAAATTATATCATTGAAAATTCTATTTACAAATCATCACCTTGGAATTATAAGGTGCATTTTGAATGATTTTGAGATATTAAACTTCAAAGTTTTTGCATTCCATATAGCTAACAGTATGTGTGTAACATTGTTTTTTTTAATATAAAAAGTCTCAAATCGCAGCTTATAAGCTACTTATAAAAAAATCACATAATGTAAGTTTTAATTTTAATTTTATAAGTTGTCATTTAATAAGAATATGTCAATAACTCAACTTTGACAAAAATGTCAGATAAAACCTTATAAATTATAAAGGTGACGAAATGTCTTATGTGTGTTGAACTGATTTTCAAACTTCCTATTGAAAACATTAAAAATATTTCATTTTATATAATTTTTTTCTGTTTTGTTTTGTCTATTTTGTTTTATGCGTTTTGTTTTGGTTTATTCATTTTGTTTTGGTTTATGCATTTTGTATTGTTTTGTTTGATCTCTTTTGTTTTTTATCACTTTTGTTTTGGTTTATCCATTGTGTTTTGTTTTATCCATTTTGTTTTGTTTTATCCTATTTGTTCTGTTTTATCCTAATTCCTTTGTTTTGTCCATTTTGTTTTGTTTTTTTATCCATTTTGTTTTGTTTTAACCATTTTGTTTTGTTTTATCCTAATTGCTTTGTTTTATCCATTTTATTTCGTTTATCCATTTTGTTTTGTTTTGTTTTATCCATTTTAAAACACATAAGTGTTTTGTCTTATATGTGTTAAACTGATTTTCAAAGCTCCCTTTCAAGAAAGAGTAAACGTAAACCATTATAATATTAGTTTTTAGATCCCCTGTATATTGCTTTGCCATTTCATTCTAGACACATTCATCTAATATGCATGCAACAGGTATATCAGCTTCAAACGTGCGTCATTCAATCCAATTTGATGTCAACATCCACTCATCCGTCTGATCTATTTCATAATAATCATGTATTGATCTTTCTACATGCTGCTTGCTTTACTCTCTCAGAAAAAGCCAGCATAGCCAGACTGACAGTTAGTGAGTGAGTGACGAATGCACACTGTCAAAGACATTAGTCTGACCCTCATCAAGCTGACACTTCATGCGACTGCTTCATATCCTCCATCAGCTATTCATACTCTGTGTCCACCCTGTTTGAGCCAATATGGCGGTGACAGCTGCTTCTGGTTTCCTGCTGAGAGGTTATCAAAGGGACAAGCCACTCGGGTGCTTGTTTGTCTAGATATAGCACAAATGCAACCAGTTGATTTAGTAGCAGCAAGTGGCAGCAACGGCATGCTTGTTCCGATATGCATCAGATTTGATTAGGAGCAGTTTGATTCGGTGCAGATTGTAATCAACACAATATGCATGGCAGAGGGAGAGAATACACTCAGCTCGTGGCTTGATGACAGAAATAAAACATTAAAAATAGATTTAATTTGTGGTTAGAGCATCTAGAGAGCATCAATAAAAACAGACATTCAAGCTTACTGTATGACTCAGAGCAGTTACTTTTACCTTGATTACGTTAATCCAATAAAACTTTAGTAGAAAATGCTGCTTTTCTGTATTTATAAAAAAAACTGTAAAATATGAAAGAACTTGTGTTGTAAATCCAAACACTGGGATGAATAATTTACTGGAAACCTTGGCCACTTTTCCCTCTAGGTAACACATTACTTGAAGGCGGTTTTAAAAAGACATGTCATGAATTTCCTTAGCTTAGTTATGCCATTTTAATTGCAAAGATGACATTGTTTGACAGGCACGTGCACACATAGGGCTCAACCTGTGCAGTGCACATGCCCTTTTTAGTCTTGGATAGAAAGTGCCCTTCCAAAATGATCAAAAGTGCCCCCGCGACGCGGCACACCCTCGGTCCCACCCTTCAGTAGGCGCGCGACAACACCGCTCTTGAGTACGCGCGCGACAACACAGCTGATCAGAACGCGCGCGACAACACCGCTCTTCATTACGCACAGCTCAACAGTACGCGCGCAACGCGTGCAGTGAAAAAATATTTATATTGTGTATGACTCCCATGAGCTTGGACAACTACATCTATACATATCTGCAATGACTCGAATAACTTATTATTAAAATCATCTGAAATAGCAAAGAACGCGTTCTTGCAGGACTCCCTAAGTCTATCTAGGTTCTTTGAATTCATCTTCAATGCCTACTCCATCTTACACCAGACATGCTCAATAATGTTCATGTCTGGTGACTAGGCTGGCCAATCCTGGAGCATCTTGACCTTCCTTGCTTTCAGGAACTTTGATGTGCAGGCTGAAGTATGAGAATGAGTGCAATCATGCTGAAGAATTTGCCCTTTTGTGTTTGTAGTGTAATGGGCAGCACAAATGTCTTGATACCTCAGGTTGTTGTTTGATGTTTTTTTTTTTTAAATATACAATTTTTTTTAGTACGTCTACATTTCTAGCACATTGTATATCTTTTATGTGCTCTATAAAATGCTTTTATCCCAATTTCACTTTACTTAGTGACAAATTATGCATTTTTACAGTTTAATAACTGTATTATGACTCATAATAAGAATGCATAAGGCAGCTAGGCTCTTATCAACAATATAAAACCATTCACTTATTTGACAGGACAAAATCTATGTCAACTTACTACTAGTCTTTGCAATAAAAACACAAAATAGTTACATTTTTATAAATACAGTTGTCATGACTAACAAATTAATACTTATAAATACATATATGACTAATTAATACTTAGAAATCCATGTATAATGTGTTATGAACAAATATATTATTGAAAAATACATCACTAATAAGTATTAATAAGCTATAAATATTAGATATATTCATGGAATTGTTATGCATGATTATAAATAATCATCAACTAAGCAATAATTCATTATGAGCATGAGCTTTGTAGAAAGTGTAACCATACATTTAATTATTGGATGGAAGTAAATGTATGGTATTCCAAAATGTGGGTTGAAATAACCAGCGATTTTTGTAATGTAGAGTCAATAGCAGATCTCATGAAGAGACATCAAATTTAATCACTTTAGATTTTATTCAAACTGTGTTCTTTATATTTCCAGACTTTTTTTACATACTACTTTTCAGTTGAAATTGTGAAATCTGCTTCAGAACGCTTCCAAGCAATACCAACGGCATGTCATGACCGAAATGCTGAAATGAGGGATATAATTTGAGACAGAGCCTGGCTCCTCTGCAGATTTGAGCGCATTATAAAATGATCAATGCTAAAAGCTGAGGGGAGGGACAAATCAAACACAGCTCCACCTCTAAGAATCCACGCTGTCACTTATGAGGAGAAATGATGAAGGATGAGTGGCATTCATTTCCTCTATTAAAGCCATGTTCACTCAAGGACGGCAAAGATTTTCCTCTAACTTCATTTCAAGTGGCAATTGTAAATTGTTCCATTGTGTCCTTTGAGCTGAAATGGATTGACTCGGCTCTGCGCAAGACAAAAGACACAGCTGTTCTATCAAATCAGCTGAAGTCAAACAATTTGTGTCATTTCAGAGAACCAAAGGATTGTTTCTTTTGTTTGTGGCACATTGTTAATCATAACAAAAGCTGTAAGATGTTTGCATGGAAAGCTGAGAAAACATGTTGGCTGCATCAAATGCTTCCTTAGGAACAGTCATCTGAGCAATAATGTACCGAGATTGGATTTTCATTTCCTTGTATTAGGCTTTGGTATTTGCGTTTTGATCTTGTGTGAAATCTTTACGTTTTGGAAATGATTTTTTTTAAAAGCTTTTGTTTTAGATGTGTCACTGCTGTCTAGATGTACAGGAGATTTGGGTTTGATTGTTGTTTTATGATGTCATTCATCAAAGCATCAAAGGTACACTACTTTTCAAAACACCAGGGCTGATGAGATATTCCCATAGTTTTGAATGTCAATTTGAATGCTTTATGCTGAATAAAATGATTTATTTTAAGGTATATTGTAATTTATTTAAGAATTTTATCATTCATTTTATGTTATAATTTATTCTTGTTATGACAGCTAAATTTTCACCATCATTTCATGATCACACAATGCTTCAAAACTCAGTCTAATGTGTATTTGTGATACATACATATTTGTGATACAGCATGTTAATCCAAAGAGTAGTTGAATTAAGTATGGCTGACATGAAACTGACATTTTGAAACAGTGTCACTTGACTAATTTGATTTAAAACACCAGATCACATGACTAAAGCGATTCAAAGCATTGATCATTTCAGAAGCGTTCCATGATCTGCAACTCTGCGGTTGACTGATAGGGTTGGAAAAAAATGTAGCCTAGTGGACTGTGCGTGTACACAAAGTAACTGTGTCACAGTTCATATTTCTGTGTTCTCCTTTTGTTGTTATGTCTGTCGCATGGTTGTGTTTGTTTACCTTTCCTTGACAGTGCACATTCCAGTCAGCTGACTAATCAGTGGGGCCACCTGCAACCTATTATTGAGACCTCTGTTTCTCACCTTTAGGGATTCAGTTGTTCTGTTACAAGGATGAAATTTAATCTAATCCAATTGCAAGTAAGTTTATTAGCTAAATTGCTCAGTACAATATACAAGCAAAAGGCTGACAGCAACTCTGGTAGAAAGGGACGGAAAATAAATCACAAGTGCTGGGGAACAGCAAAACAAGACCTGAACAAACAAGACAGGAACAAACATGAACGACTGAATGCCAAAAGGTGAGAAACAGTGTCCTTAAGTAGATCTCAATAATTGGTTAAAGATGGCCTCACTGATTAGTCAGCTGACTAGAACGCCCACTATAAAGGAAAGGTAAACAAACACAGCCATGCGACAGACATAACAAGAAAAGAAAACGCAGAAATATGAATACTGCGCGGCGAGTTCAAATCTCAACTTGTACAAATGCTCTTAAATTATCACTCTCCATTTTAATAATGTTACTTTTTATGATCAAAACAAGACATATTTATTCACAAAGTGTTCATTTAGATGTCAGACCAATGTAAAAAAAAAACATGTTACAAGAATAGATTATTTAAAAACTAACATCTATAGCTGCATTTCCTTGTATTTGAACCTCTGCATGCTAGTCTTGAAATCTCACCACTGCACTTAATCATATGAAATCTCAACTCTACAACATGGGATTTAACATTCAATTTCCTTAACTTCTCTTTGCTGAAGCTGTTCCAGAGCAATAAATTAAAAAGATGGCCACTAGGTTTCACTGTAGAGACAGGTTTTGAAACGTTTCAAAGCTTCGACACATTTGCTTTAACTGTTTTAATGTTTCATGAAGCCTCATTTTGCCCATCACTAAGTCGAAGTCACAGGCGAATGGTCAGAACAGGCAGAAAAGCAACATAAACAATGAAACAAAGGTCAAAACAAGCTAGACAAGGCAGGGAAAATGGTTAGAATTGCTCACTTACAGTTAACAAAACTTAGCAACGATATGTGTGTGTGTGTGTGTGTGTGTGTGTGTGTGTGTGTGTGTGTGTGTGTGTGTGTGTGTGTGTGTGTGTGTGTGTGTGTGTGTGTGTGAGCGCGTGTGCGTGTGTGCATGCGTGCGTGCGCTGTGCGCTTTATAGTCCATCTGATTAGTCCTGAACAGCTTTAGCTGTGTGATTGCAATCAATAATGATCTGGAACTGGTGTAACAGTGCAGGAATGGATGGGATTTGTAGTTCAGTTCAGTGGCAGGTGTGTAGTTGAGTGAATGGTAGGGGAGTGTTCACCAGCAGTCTGCATGGGCAACACTGATCATAACACTGATATTGAAAACCATTGTTGTGGGTATTTTTTATGGAAATGTTGACACTTAGAAACATGAACAAATGCTATTTTACATTGTTAATCTTAACTAAATAATTTTTGATACTTCTTTTCTTCTCCTTCCGAGTTAATAATACTACAATTTATATTATCAAACATATTAAATTCCCTCATTTATTTCAGCTTAGTCCCTTTATTAATCCGGGTCGCCACAGCGGAATAAACCGCCAATTTATCCAGCATATGTTTTGTGCAGCAGATGCCCTTCCAGCTGCAACCCATAACTGGGGAACACCCATACACTCTCATTCACACACAAGAATGAGACAGAAAAGTAATACTGTTACTTATTTCCCACTGCTAATAAACCATATTTTTTACTTCCGCATTAGAGTTTGCAGTGTTTGGATTTAGACATTTTAAAAATGAATGTATATTGACAAAAATAAAAAAAAATATTCAAAAATTACAAAAAAAAAATTTAATATTTTGAATTGGTGCATTACTTTACATCGTAACATTTGATGGAAGTGAATTTAAAAATGAACTTGCTGTTTAATCAAAAATTAAAGGACAAATATGTTTGCAGTTAACATTAAGAAGGTCACAGTTAGATATATTTAAAATGAACAAGATTAGGCCAGTAAATCTAGCAAATATTGTTGTGTTACTTTCGTCCCTGCTGATGGGGTCAAAAGTAACAATGTGCAACTTTTGTGAAGTTATATTGGAGTTGTTCTACGCTGATACAAAATAACAGCTGATTTTGATAGAACAATGTTGTTGGTAAAAAATATATATATAGCAATTAAATAGCTATTGTGCCTATTTAATATGATATATTATTATATATTTAATTTGATCAATTTTTATATTTAATTTTCAAACATAAATCTTCCACTTTTGTCATCAGATGCCCTTGTTTTCATAGTATGCTTTTTATGATCTGTATCCTGACAATTGTACATTCTTTGAAAATGATAAATGACTGGTGACATCATTGAAAACATGTCCATTTATTGCAGCTGAATGTCTTCTTGACTGTTTTCTTCTCCCTCTGTTTTACAGACACTCACCTAAAGTGGTGAAGGCAGCATCTCAGGTCCTCAGTAGCATGTGGCAGTACAGAGATCTCCGGAGCCTTTATAAGAAGGTAGGAGATTTGCTTCCAACCACGACAGCTGTGTCCCGCTTCATCCGTCCCAACCTGAGGAATTCATTTAACATGCTAACTGATCTCGCCAGAAAATCAAAAAACAAAACAGCACACTTTTACATCCCTCCTCCCAGATAAACATGTGCAATCTACTATTTATTCAGCACAACACTTTGTATCTGCCTGCAAACATTAATCCACGGTGACTAGCAAAGAATGCTCTATTGAGCAGTGTAGCGGCCAGGCTGAAGAGTTACTTCCATTCAATAAATGCTTGTTGCAGCTCCTATTGTGTGAATCTGTTCAGACGTCTCCCTCGCAGATTATTGAGGCAAACTTTGGCCTTGGATCACGCTTACTGTATTCAGAGTGTATTGTGCTGTCTGAAAGGCATTGCGAACAGACTGACGTGAAGAGACCTTGGACGAATGTTTCCATATTTCAATGCAACAGCAATTAGAAGCAGACTTTCAAACTGTCTTCTTTTTTAATTACCAAACTAAAGCTTATTAGCTTACATAATCACACTGCAGCAACTCATATATGGCATGGAGATGTGGTCAAAAGGAGTTCATCTCAAGCCTTAGAAAGGTGATTTAAAGTCTGTGTGGACCGGAAGTTGCTGCTGACTTTTATTTCAGCATGATGATGTGCTTCCAACTGAAATGGAATATTGAGTAGGGGCTGGGTTTCTTTTTGTGTGACTGCTCTCATCTTTCACTCGCAGCAAACTACTGGTTGGAGGGGCATAGCTAAGTATATTTCACCCAAACTGACAACATCATGCTGCGTTTACAGTGCACAATTTTCAAAGTAGTCATGTCACTGATGTTTTTACACTGCATGACTCTCTGGGGTAGCGTTCCGTCGCTGCTTTGTCTACACTGCAAGACAGATCGGCGTCAGAGCGTTTCACACTGCATAACTTTAAAATAGGAAGAATCGCTGACAACTTAGTCTCGGTCCACAAACTACTGGACATCTCTCAAAACCCAATACATGTGAGAAGTAGGATGGAAACAAAGCAAAGTCACATAGCATATCTTTTGTTATTAACTACATAATGAGAAAGACGCCTTTATTGCATTTGAAAATGTATGTATTTTGCTCACCTGGCCTTTGAAGGGAATTAGCAATTTCTTTCAAACTTGTTTCTTTGTTGACCCGGTTGCGGTATTGCTCATATCAAACATATCAAACAGACACGTGTGCTCCTGCCAAATTTCCACTAGTTTTCCCTCCATTTCTTGGGTCCAAATAGACTGAAAAGAAGCCTTTTTAAATTCTCCCCCAACCTCCTGCTGTCATTCAGATACTCATACTACTGGATGCTGCGCTCTCATTGGCTGAAGGTAATCGCCGATGTTATTTTCAATCAGTACACATTTCACACGGCATGATTTTGAATTGTCGACAGGTCCAGATACTTAGATCGCGTCTATAATAGGTCACACTATGTGATTGTTACTCACGTGAAAGAGCACTTATTTGACTGTGATTTCAGGCATTTGTCGGCCACTTCTCAAAACTTTTCGGTGAGTCAAAATCTAAGCTAAAATCATGCAGTTTTAACTCAGCATTAGAGAAAGACTGCCAATCCAGAACAGAAGCAAATAGATATATTTTGATTAAAAACTGCCAAAGTTGTTTTTTGTTTATGCATAGCAATGTGTGCCAGCAAAATAAGCATTAAAAATATTGATTTCATGAGGACTTTATATGGTTGTTGAGATGGGCTGGTCTGAAAATTCCAGAAACTATTTTCATGCACAACCACCTCTACTCTGTAAAAATATCTATAAACTAAGAGTTTTACATAATTTCTGATTCATGTGTTTATTACAATTTTATCCTTTTATTTATGCTTTTGAACTGAATTACGGGACATTGATCTTTCTTAAAACCACTTTTAACCCTTGAAAAGGTCAAAAAGGTTACTTTTATCAACATTTTTATTATAGTTTAAAGTGATATATTGTCTGGGTTGGTGCTGTATATTACAATACAAGAACTGCCAGTACATTTTCTGCTATTTTACAGACTTATTTCTCTCTATATAATTTCTTATGCATTATATTATTTAAAACTACTAAAATGTCAATAAAAGTCACTTTGTTAAACTGTAGAGTTAAATTTTTAACATCAAAAGTCGACAGAGCAGAGATCAAGGTCCGATAATGCAATTCACAACTGTAAATAAACGGAAAACACTTGTGAATTACTAAATACAGAAACTGTTAATTAATTTATATTGCTTGCAGTGTAGGGTTTAAAGATAGTTGTCAAAAAAGGAAAAAAGGAGCAGCTGCTCTGTTTGTGAAAATGCCTTGTTTATACCAGAGGTGAAGGGTGAATGACCAGTTCATCTGATAGAAAGGTAACGTCAGTATCCGGTAGTTTAAAGTTCATGGTTTTTTCATTTGAAAGTATTTGTCTAATAGATAAAAGTCAGAGGTGACAGTGATAGACTTTGCTGTAGTTGCCTGTTATTTAGCACATTAACAGTTACTCATTGTCATAGAAATCTCTGTCCACGTTTCCTGATCTGATGAGTTTCAACAAAGACTATGGATGTAGATCTTTTCAATGTGGTGATGTCATTGTTTATCAATAGCCCCTTTCACACATACAGACCTTTCCGGAAAATTGCCGGCAATTTTCCGGAAAGGTTGTATGTGTGAACAGGTCCTTTTTGAAAATACCGGTAAATTCGTTCTGGCTATTTTCCGGAAAGAGAAGTTGTAGCATTACTGGCAATTTGTGTGAACGCAAAAGGAAGATTGCCGGAAAGAGCGCTTGCACGTCTAGAACGTGCTGACGTGAGACATCTGCTTTAACCAATCAGAACAGTCAGATGCATTCACGTCCGCGTGGTTTATGAGAATAAAAGCTTTTGAATATTTTTCCAGACACATTTAGCTGCTAGAAATTAGTCAGATAACGTTTATATGTTCATCTTAATGCCAACCGTGTAATTAATTATCGATAAGATGCTTATGATAAGCCATTGTTTGTTTACCTTCAAGCTTTGCGTGTGCCCATGAAACAGCTCATGGGCACACACACATCATGTACATCTCGATATGCAAAAGTGTTTCTCTATGTTTTCATCGAAGTTGTTCACTATACTGATCCATCCACAGAGTTTATGGTGTAATCAAATGTTTACAAACACAAGCCAGCCGTTTAGAGGTCATTTCTGGTTAATGATGTCAGAATTTACCGGTATTTTGGAATGGATGTGTGAATGCTCTTTTCCGGAAAAATTCCGTAACGTCCTCGCCTGTTTGAACAGTGCTTTTTTGTATTTACCAGTAAAGTCGTTCCGGAAATTTTCCAGATATTTACAGGTATCACTGTGTGAAAGGGGCTATTGTGTAAACATTTTTCAAATCTCTAAAGCCATGAAAATTAAAAAAAATGTAAATTGGAAAATATGTTAAAATCATTGTTATTGTTTACATCACTCAAAAGAATCTATTCAAAGACAGTTTTCTAGCATTACTATGAATAGGGAAAGTGTAATGCTCAGTATGGCCACCACAGCAAAGGAAGTCCCGCCTCAAGATCAAAACAGCCAATCATCATCTATAGCAGTTTTGTGGGGGAGGGGTCTGTACAGATTCGCTTGTTTGTTACAGCAAGACCTATCGACTACTTTGTGACAAACATCTTATCACCTCCCACCAGTTTTTGTGTCCTTCCAGTGTTGTCCTCCAGTATTTGCTCAGCTTTTGTTTTCATTGTTTAGAACTGCATTTTCTGGTTACCATTAAAACAGCCATAAAGAAAATTGATGTTGTGCCAATATTTGCACATTTGCACAGTATAGCTGGAGAGAACTGGAAATTATGCGTATGAAATGTTATTAGATATTAAGATACAACAGTAATGGAACAGCTCACTTCAGATTTTGTTGCTAATTTGAAATATATAATTTATTTGCAAGCTCAGCAAACCGATTTTCGAGTTAACTAACTTGAATATTGAATATTGAATATTGCTGCTGCAGCATTCAGATTAGAAGGTCAGAATTTGCCACAAACAACATAAACCCATGGACCTATCCTGCCTTGTATAAACATAAGACTGCTGTTGTGTATTGTTCTGATTCATATTTTTTTGTCATTTTGGGCTCCTTTGTACCAACTGAGCATTGTTTAAATGCCATAGCCTATTGGTGTTATTGCTGACCACCTCTATTCTTTTATGACCACACGTTATGATGGCTACTTTGAAAAGGACAAGATTGAATCAGCTCAAATAATTTTTGAACCTGATAATTAATTCACTAAACGGAAATTCTCTACACAGTCAGCGTATCTTAATTCAACCCATGCTCATTGGAAATACGCGCTTCAGCCTACATTTTTGTTAGACACAATATACATTTCTCAAGGTACTTTTCAGATAAAAAAAAAAAGATTAGATGGTGATGTCTAAATTTTTTCGAATCTGAAATGCATTCCTTAAGACACATTTTTCTGTACAATTTAAATACAAGTCTATTTTTATATTACCTAGTGGTTCACTGACTAGGCAATTATTTAAATAGCACGTTTTATATACAATGCTAATTCAAAGTGCTTTACATATACAAGAATAAAAGAGACAAGTATGGGAAAATAACAAAGAATAAAAATGTTTAAAAACAGATTAAAATGTGTTAAACGGGTTTTAAAAGAATAAAAAAGAAAAGAAAGACATAATAGTGCGATCTGTCGGACGTAGCACAGTGCTCATTCCGTAAAGGCACAGCTAAACTGATGTGTTTTTAACTAGATTTGAATGTGCCTAATGTTGGAGCACATCAGATCATTTCTATAGGCTGAACAAGTAAACTCTTAAACCCAGACAACAATGCTTTCAAAAGCAAACGTTAGAGAAAAGTGTAGTTTTACCTTGATTTTACATTGCTTTTATCTCATTGTGGAACCGTGTTTCACAGGACTTGATCCTAAGTTCTCTGCATCCAAAGTACAACACACAAATGATCT